GTCTCCACGTGCTGTGTTAGCAATGAGATCTTTAGTTGCCCCAGATAGTTACACTGAGGATGCGTTTATTATATTCTTCAAAAGATTATATTTGGATAGATCCTGTATCACTTTGACTGTGTTCTGGTTCGATTCTTCTTGATTCGTCTCCATGCGGCGGCTAAGAAACGAAATTCCTAGGAAGAGCAATCGATGTGGGCCTCAACTCAAAACACCCTGGCTCTGATATAGGCGGAACCGCCAAAATGTTAGCCATGATGAAAGTTCACCAACCTTGTAATAGCTCATCAATAAAAAGAGAATAGTATCGAAAAATATCCTGTGGCAATGTTCTTGGTCTGCATTTGGAAGAATGTAAAATATTACGAAAGGCAAATGCGTAATCTTATTGGCCACTGACTTACTTTCAGCTGTAAAGTTTCACTTCCCTCTGCAAGGACTCTTCCTGTTAATGCCAAAATTGCAACTCATCTCTTTCCCAAATCGTAGTCTTGTAACGGATGTAACGGATTCTTTCGGCTCAAAGTAAGTTTTGTCAACATTGAAAACATGCTTCTTCTAAGATTGCAGCGTTTCCTAATGTTAGGTCACTTCACACCCATAAATAGAAATGTCAGTGGAAGTGGTACATTTCACAGTTCAATTTCATCTCTTTGGGAACCACATTCCTCGTTACATATGACAGTTCAACAACCACAGCAATAAGCCAACCACCACTGCAGGGTAGAAGACCGCTGAAATTATTTACTTTTGCAGAAGATTCCGGTACTGTCTGTTTGGAATCGCTCCTTTGTAGTTGAGAATTTATACAGCCAAATGTCGTGGTAATGACTACATGTTAGAATGGTGTACAGCCCAGTGTATATGCAGTGCAGAATTTTTGCACACGTTATTTTACAAATACAAACCCGCTCAAAATACGAAGCTAAGAAAGAAGGCATGCACATAGGTTTCGTTTAAGGTGTATCGATCGACGATCATAGCTGCGATGTTTGCTGCAGGTCATCCAGGTCGACTATTTAATTTGTTATCACCGAGTGTGTTTTCATAATGACCGTGATTTCTTGAAGGTACAACTAGCTAATATATCTTGCGGAAGCTGCAATGTTGGACAGTAGTTGGCGCTACAGTAGTGGGACGTGTCACACTTTGGATGATAAATGGGTTTCTTTCAGAGATTAGAGGATTAAGGAACTTTTATTTTGAATGAGATCACATAAACACCTCTGTGTCCGCATTCGGAAGTGTTTTGCAGTTCATGTCTAGCCCACGTCGTGTTCTATACCGTCTAATTCATAAGATAATTAGAAGGCTCACCATTCACTAAGGTGCATCAGTATCCCAGCCATCAATCTACATCGTGGAATAGTGAAGAACTCGATTCCGAATCGAATGATTCTGATTTTCAACCTTCTGGGAATCGCGCTGGTTTCTTTCGCGGCGAGCGGGGCGTCCTCCACTGGCAATGTGGTAAGTTTCTAATGAAATCTGAATTCTTATCGACAATGAAGGTTTAAACCTAGACGGAATTTTTTGGTTGAAATATTTGAAAATTCATTAACAATGAATTGTTTGTCGGAAATAACTCTCCACCTTACAATAAGATGACACTTTATCGATAATTCGATCCAGCTTTTTATTGGTAATAACTTTCATATATCCATTCATATCCGATTATGATACCTCTATATCTATATCTAATCCAATCTAATCTAATCACATATCTAATTAAACAACTCCACTGATATTCTGTAACGCCACATTTCTGAAGCCAAAACACAAGGTGCTTACGAAAGGGTCCTAAAGAAAACCCCTAGAGAAATTTATGCTTTCTGTTCTTATTTATCCTAGTTCTTTCAGCATTCAGCGCTTTACTTGATCCGCCTCACAGTTTTTTCTCACTAAGCGAATCCTAGTATCCCAGCACTCAACTCGTTCTTCGCCTCTTCTTGAATGTCAGTAGAATACTGGACTCAGCACGTCTCCATGCAAAATCGAGGATGACCTGAGTGTGGCGTTCCATAGGGCTTTCGTTGTTGATTGACTGCAGAGGAGTGCTGGGGTAGGGATCAGCCCCGCGCCATCTGTGAATGAGCATCACAACCACTCGGCGACGTTCCCACTTCATGTATATACACATATACTCATATATGTACATTTATATGTGCTGGATAGATACATTCTGACACTAAGCTTAACATCATCTGGATAGTACAAGTAATACTAATCTTAACAAAATTTTATAAATCAAAGAATAAGTACTACGCAGAATTATTTCCCATTGTAACACTTCTTTTCACAGGTTAATAGTTACGCCTGGATCAAAGAAGCACCAAAAATCACAAAAATTTTGCATAGAAAAATGAACAATGTTCAGAAGTAAACACGGTTCTCAATCCTCATTAAACCCTTCGTCAATTTGATGCCCAAGATCGCAGAATTGTCTCATAGTCCTCATCATCCACTCCCGCATTTCCTGGAAAGTACGACTTACAGGCAGAAACTAACAACTTTCGAACAAGCTAAGGACTACTATGGACATCTTAATACAAATCTTGTTTTTGTATGGAAGATGAAAAGAAGATAACTTTGAAATCTTACTTTCATCAGGTCAAGATCACTGACGATCAGCTGGAATCTTGAGAGCACTATGTCACTTAACTGCAACTGATTCTCCGCTTTTTGTCGCTCAATCTCCTAAACTCAGCTCTTGATTTATTGAGAAATCGGGAGCATCTACATCTCCTTCTCTTTCTAGCCCTTTTTTCTCCATAGATAAGCTAAATTATGATATATCAAGCCAACAACAGACCCGTTTCAAACTGTCGATTTCGTGATGTTTGTCTTCCAAAACTTCTTTTTCATTTTCCAATCGGGCTGAAACATCGCATATATGAATTTACATGGATGACGAAAAATTACTAGACTGCTATTTTTCTGAATATATAAGATACTTTCTGGAGTCTCAAAAGCAGCAACAATTCAATCCAAGCTCCTCAGCACTTGCTAGGCCCTGGCCATGTTTCTGCCGACATGGCATTGATTCATGCTCACTATTTAGTGAGGATGAATTCCATTTTGCATAATACTAAGGAACGTTTTCTACCATGACCAGTGGGAGGGAGGGAAAGAGGGGGTGGGGTCAAGAAAGGGCTACGATTGTCGAAAAAAACTCGATGAGAAGAAGATAAGGACACTTGGACAGAAAACTATCGAAAGAATGGTCAGGGAATGGAGAAAAACTAGAATGAATTCTAAGATTATATCCACACTAATTACTAAAATAAACAAACTATCGAGCTTCGGAAACATTATGATATACCTAAGTCAGCTTCTTCAGCAATCAAAGCTTTCTCCCATTCCTCCCTGTCCCGTCTCCGTTGCCGAACTGCACGCGACTACATTCGTTGTCTCTCACGTAGTTTACCAGACAGCACATTGTATTCTTGTCTGGGAAAGAGTGGTTATAAAAGATATAAATCCCGTTTAATGAAGCTTTTCTAACTCTGAGTAGTTTCCAGTTCAGAGGCGGATTGACTTATGAGTTGTTTTATATCCCATTTCCGCTGCACAAACGCCTCTTCAATGACTCCGACGAGGGTTTTGAGGTGTGATACTGCGGCATGTAAACCTCTAAAATCCATCAAAAATCCGTATGAAATCTTTTAGTTTTTGATGCCAACAATTGCTATATTCTGCTGGTCGATTCAACAGCATTCAGATAATTATGAAATTCTCGAAGAAGCAGGTCCTTCCGTTCCCACATTCAACCAAATAAGTACCATTTCGACGGTGGATACTCGGCCAGCAAAATACTAGCAGAAACGCGAGCATCGATCCTGACTGCTGCAAAGTATCCATATATAGAAATTCAAAATGAGGACTTATTACAAATTCGTACAAATTGCAGAATCTCATCTTACATTGTCGCCATCACCAATGGATTCTACAATGCTGAAGATGGATTTTGACAGTCAACATCAGCTTGTGATAGCGGTCTTGTTGCTGAAAAGATTCGTGTGCGGTTACTAAAGCACCATATACAATCCGCCAATCTCTCATAAATCACTAGTACTAAAAAAGACCTGAAATACTCAACGAAAGCGTTTTTGCTTTTAGGGACAGCCAGCCATGCTGCTTACACAGGTGCTCGGGTCGTCTTTCAGTTTTCTTATAGTCAGCTATTCTAAATGAAAGAATTCCGAAGAAGAGCTATGTTTGTGATGTATGGGCCAATCACCACTATATAAGAAGATGGTACCTGATCGTGTTCGACCGTTAGTTCTCGAACTTCGCTACTGCGGAGGCCACTGCCTGCTTCCTGAGCCTTGGTTAGTTCCTCGAGCTCGCCAAGACGGGCTCGTTCTTCTCTCACTGATTCAGCAACAGTCTTAAGTTCCATTTCCACCACATTCTCAAAAGAAATCAGTCAGATCATTGAATACGAAAACGATCAACTAAAGAAAAGAGAGGAAAAATGAGAGTAATGGAGCTCTCCGTAAACCGCACATAGTCCTCCGTTAATCGATTGAGATCGCTCTCCGTTTCTTCCATGTATTCAGCAGCTTTGATGATGTCGTCGTCCAAACGAGCAATATCTTCACGGAAACGTTCCAGATTTCCTTTCTGAAAGTGAGCAAACCGAAGATCCGAGATAAAATCATACTGGAAACAATCAAAAGTTTACAAAAGGCAGCATTTATTTTTGACTTTTGCTAAATCTACGCCGTCATAAATGAAACAACGATGCATCTCTCCAAATCGACATTTGAACAACTCACATCTGCTTCCATCTCTTCACACTCCTCTCACTCAACCCAATCCTTACTCCTTAATCCGTACTCATTCGACCCAATCCTCCTTGAAGTCGCTAAGAGTTTCCGGTTGAGAAGTATTATAGCAGCAAGATACTTGAGAATTTTTAGTATTTTCTACTGCTTTTTTCGCAGTGTTATGATGTTTCATATATACCCAAGCGAGTTGAGTGGTGAGCAAAAGACGATTTCAGACGGGAGTCGAACCCGCAAGTTCATCCATAACCGGGACGCGTGCTACCACTGCACCACAGAGGCACATTGGCGTCGTTACTCATTCTTCAATATCTCTATGTTAGCTGTCAGCTTCTT